GAAAGGCCTGGGGATCTACATCTGAAAAATCAGCCAGTGAAGACCATATAAAGCACAATTCTATTCTGACACATGAGGTCACCACGAGTTGGAATCTGCAATTGGCTATAATTGGTTATTTTAACTTAAAAATAATATCAAGCAATTATTAACTGTCAACTCCATGTAATGGAAGCAAGTTGCTTTTATATTATTCTCTGTACTTTACTATGTTTTAAATCATTTCCTCAGGATACCAAGGTCAACTGGCATAACACTGTACACAGACACAATGTTCTATATCCTACTTTACTGAGTAATGACTGGGGTCTTATAAGCTTGTGAGTGCATTAGAGGGCAATTTATAGCAATGAATGCACACATCAAAAAAGCAAGCCAAAATAGCAACTTAATTCAATATCTCCAACAATTAGAAAAAGAGCAGCAATAGAAAACCTAGTCACTAGAAAAAAAGAAATAATGAAGATTTGAGCAGAAATAAATGTAATAAAAAATAGAAAAATCAACTAAGACTAGAAGTTGGTTCTTTGAAAAGATTAATAAAATTGACAACTCATTGGCAAACTTAACAAAGGAAAAGAAAAAGATACAAATAACACAAATAAGAAATGAAACTGGATGTCACAACAGAACCAACTGAAATAAAAAGGATATTATGAAGAACTGTACTCCAACAAACTTGAAAACTTGGAAGAAATAGACAGATTGCTTGAAACACTAACTAACACAGACTGAGGTGGAAAATTTGAATAGACTCATAACAAAAGAAAAAACTGAACAGGTCACAGAAAGAATTACCAACAAAAATAAGTTCTGGTCCAGATGTTTTCACTGGAGATTTCTACCAATCATTCAGAGAAGAGCTGACACTAATCCTACTCAAACTCTTCCCGAACATAGAGAGGACAGACATTCATTTTATGACCAAGCATAACCCTGAAACCAAAACCAGGCAAAGACACCACTAAACAGGAAAACTACAGACCAATATCCCTCATGAATATAGATACGAAAATCTTCAACAAAATCCTAGCCAACAGACTCCTACAACATATCAAAAAAATACATCAGGACCAAGTGGGATTCATACTAGGTATGCAAGGATGGTTCAACATGAGAAAAACAACCAACATACTCCATCACATAAGTAAAATAAAGGAAAAGAACTACATGATATCAACAGATGCAGAAAAGGCATTGATAAAATACAACATCCATTCCTGATAAAAACTCGGAAAAATAGGAAGACAAGGGAAATTCCTCAACATAATAAAGGGCATACATGCAAACCTAACAGCCAAGATTATTCTCATTGGGGAGAGATTGAAACTCCCCTTTCACAAACAGGAACCTGACAAGGATACCCTCTATTACCCCTTCTATTCAACACTTTATTGGAAGTCCTAGCCAGGGCAATAAAGAAAGAAAGGAAAATAAAAGACATCCAAATTGGTAAGGAAAAAGTTAAACTATCCCTGTTTGCAAATGATATGATCCTATCAGGAAGGCCAGGAGACTCAACAAGAAAACTACTGGAACTTATTAAAAGATTTAGCACAGTGGCAGGAGACATGGTCAACATACAAAAATCAGTTGGATTCCTCTACATCAACAAAGAGGTCTCTGAAAAGGAAATAAAAGGAAATCAATACAATGTATAATAAAACAAAAAAACAAACTCATTGCCATCGAGTCATTTTCGACTCATAGCGACTACTCGTTGGATTTCCAAGGTGGTTTCTCTATGGAGGTAGACTGTCCAATCTTCCTTCCAAGGAGTGGCTGGTGAGTTTGAACCGCCAGCCTTATGGTTAGCAGTCAAATGCCCTAGGCACTACACCACCAGAGCTCCCAAAATTTGCCAAAAAATCAGCTAACCACAGGGGAATGGATCTATTTCTGGATTCTCAATTCTGTTTCATTGGTTTATGTGTCTGTTGTGGTACCAATACCAGGCTATTTTGACTACTGTAGCTGTATAGCAGGTTTTGAGATCAGGGAGTGTGAGGACACCTACTCTTTTTTCTTCAGTAGTGCTTTGCTTATCCAAGGTCTCTTTCCTTTCTATATAAAATTAGTGATTGGTTTTTCCATGTTTTAAAGAATGTTGATGGAATCTCAATACGGAGTGCATTGACTGTATAGGTTGCTTTGGGTAGTACTGACATTTTCACAGTGTTCAGTCTTTCTATCCATGAGCATAGCATGTTATTCCATTTATGTAGATCTCTAATAGCTTCTTGAAATACTGTTCTATAGCTTTCTTTGTTATAGGTCTTTTGTATTCCTGATCAGATTTATTTCCAACTATTTTACCTCAAAACCTTAGATACAATCACAGTAGTCAAAACAGCCTGGTATTGGTACAACAACAGACACACAAACCAATAAACAGAATTAAGAATCCAGAAATAGATCTACCCACCTGTGGCCAGCTGACTGTTGGCAAAGGTCCAAAATCCATTAAATGGGGAAGAGATAGTCTCTTTAACAAATGGTGCTGGCAAAACTGGATATCAATTTGTAGAAAAATGAAACAAGATCCATACCTCAAACCATACACAAAAACTAACTCCAGATCGATCAGACTTAAATGTAAAACTTAAACTATAAAATTCATCAAAGAAAAAATAGGGGCAAATTTAGGGATCCTAATTTATGGCATAAACAGACTATCAACTCTAACTCAAAACGCACAAATGGAAGTACCATTTGATCCAGCAATCACCTGATTGGGACCTTGTGAAAATTAAATTCTTATGTGCATCAAAAGACATCTCTAAAAGAATAAAGAGAATCCACAAAATGGGAAAAAATATTTGGCAACTACATATCTGATAAGGAACTTATCTCTAAAGTTTAGAGAAAACTTCAACACCTCAATATAAAAAAGACAAAGCATCCAATTGAAAAATGGGCAGAAGACATGAATAGACACTTCATTAAAGACATTCAGACAGCCAACAAACACGAAGAAATGTTCATGATCATTAGCCATTAGAGATGCAAATCAAAAACAACAATGAGATACCATCTCACCCCAGCACTAATAGCAAAGTATAAAACAGAAAATAATTAATACTGGCGAGAATGTGGACAAATGGGACTCTCATACACTGCTGATGGGACTGTAAAACGATACAACCACTGTGGAAATCAGTACGGAGTCAGAAACAGAAATACTATTTGATCCAGCAATCCAGGTATATATCCTGAAGAAATGAGAGTGAGGCTACAAATGGATATATGTACACCCATGCTCATTACAGCACTATTCACAATAGCAGAGAGACAGAAACAACCCAAGTACCCATCAATGGAGGAACAGATATCCAAAGTGTGGTACACACACACAATGGAATACTATGCAACACTCAAGAGTAATGTAGAATCCACGAAACACTGCATAACATGCATGAACTTAGAGGATATTATGCTGAGTGAAATAAAGTCAATCACAGAAGGACAAATACTATATTAGTCAACTATTATAAAAAGTCAAGGACTGTTAACCAGAAGGCTGGCAGTTCAAACCCACCAGCCACTCCTCGGAAGGAAGATGGGGCAATCTACTTCCATAGTGATACTGCCTCGGAAACCCAAGGAGGATGAGTTGGGTCAACTCGATGGCACGTAACAACAACAACGTGTGTGTGTGTGTGTGTGTGTATACACCAAAGATTATTAGTGGTTACCAGGTACAGGAGGGAGGTGGAAAAAAGGAAGCTCTTGTTTGCAAGGCATTGAGTTCAGGCTAATGGTGGTGGAATTATTTTGGAAAAGGACAGTAGTAATGGTGGCACAACATGAAAAATGTAATTAATGTCAAAAAAAAAAAAAAGGGAAAGCTTGTGAGCAGCTAGCTATGGTGCAACTGTCCAGAGCACAGAAGAGGGAAGAAAATCAGAGATGTGTGAAAAAAAATTGGTTCGTGAACCCTAGCTTCCATGGCCCTGAGACCAAAAGAACTAGAGGGTTCCCAGCTACCACTGCTAACCGCTCTGAAAAGGATCACAAAAGGAGGTCCTGCATAGTGTAGGAGAAAAATGTGGAATAAAACTCAAAATAATAAGATTAAGCTTACTGGTCTGACAGAAACTGGTGGAACCCCAGAGACTATAACTGTTAGACACCCTTCAAATCTAGAACCAAACTCACCCCTACGGCTCAACTTCCAGCCAAACAACAGACAGGCCTGTAAGGTGAACAGTAACACTAGGAAGGTACACACTTACTAGAACCATAAACCACACGAGATCAAAAGGGCAGCATTTGCCCAGGGGTAAAGCTGAGAAGGCAGGAAGGAATAGGAAAGAAGGACGAATGGAAATGGTAAACATAGGGAGGAAGTAGGAAGAGTGCTGTTACATTGTGGGGATCGCAATCCATGTCATGAAACAAACCGCATGAACTGCTGAACGGAAAACCAATTTGCTCAGTAAACTTTCACCCAGATCTCAATAAAAAGTTTTTTTAAAAAAAAAACAATGTATACTATGATACAGATAAGTTATGTATCATTTATGTAAAAAATGATAATGCAATAATGGAACAAATGAATGTTATGGAATAAATAGATAATATTTTACAAATTAAAAAATAAATAAATAAATCCTCCTCTTACCTACAGGGTTAAAAAAAAAAAAACCATATTACTTAACAGCATGTTCTGTATAAAGTTCTGAGAATGGCCACTGGCTCAGCCTGGCATGGACCTGGAGGCCTCCACCACAGGTACGGGTATGCAAGAGTGGCATTTCAGTGGCTCATGATGACAGGCCAGGCCCAAGAGAATGACCATCAAACTTCCTCACCAGACTGCTCTAGGTAGACATAATAAGGCCTCGTGGCCAGTGGAAAGGACCCTGAATGGGGACCCAGAGCCTCAGCTCTGTCATCAGGGAGATCTGACCCTGGGCCTGTTGCAGTTGCCCCAGAAAAGGTTGAATGCAATCACTTCTCAGCAACCCCTCTCCACCCGTCCAGTCCTGGGATCTTACCGCTGCTCCTGTGCTGCAATGTGCAGAGAGTCCATGATGAGGCGCACGGCCTCCGCAATCTGTTTGGCCCGGACCGTGTGCTGCTCAAATTTGGTCTTCACAGCAGACTGGGAGATGCACTCCTGGAATAGAAGAGGTAATGAGGGAGGCAGGGGCCACCTGGGGCTACAGCCAGTGCCAGGCTCTGGCTTTCACTGCCAGGGACATGGCCATGAGAGCTATGGGAGGCATAGATTGCCAGACATCAGAATCAAAGGTCTCACCTCGAATCGCCTCTCAAAATTCTGAAATTCAAACATCCTTACTTGAAAGCCTTCTGCAAGAGCACCCCCTAGGAGAATTGCACCGCATTAGCCCAGAAATTAGCAGCTGAGGAAAATAATGCAATTGCCCAAAACCAACCCCACCATGGCCCTTTGCAGACACTGGTTGGAAGGCAGAGTCTCTCACTGCAGCTCTTCCACCATCTCAACCTTAGAATATTTTCTGCAGACTGACAGCATAACACCAAACATTTCCAAACTTCAGGGAAAAGGAAATATTTTGTTCCCATAGCTACCTCCTTCAGGCATGCCCTGGGCTTTCTGGATTCTGGCGTTGAGTACTTCCTTGGCAGACACAAAGAAGATGCGGTCCCCGGCCTGGGCTCGATCCACCACACCCAGCTCATCCACCAGGAAGCTGGTACAACGTTCCATGTGTTGCCGCCGCACCTGAAACCCACGCAGATGGGTGTGCATGGTGGGGGTTGGGGGTGTGTATATGTGGGTGGGTGTCACTGTGTGTGTACGTGTCACTGGCTGGGTAAGGGGCAGCCCTCGACTACTTTTTTTTTTAAATTGGTAACACAGTCACATGGGTCAATATTTAAAAGGTCTAAACACATACACCGTACAATGTCTCTTGCCCATCTGTTTAGCCAACCAAGCTTCCAGAAGGAGCAATGCCATGAGGATTTCTTGGGGTGCATTCTCCCTGAGGTATTTTATGCATATACAAGCAGATATGTTTACACACTTCCTGAAGTACATCTTCTGAGAGCCCATGGCACCATACTTTGGTGCCCTTAAATGAAAGGGCCCTGGGAGTTGGGAAACTTAGGCTCCATACTTTGCCAAGCCCAGCCCTCTCAGGACCTTGCTTATAAAGTGAGTGAGTACTATTAGAAAATCCCATCCAGCTCTGAGGTCCTGAGTTCTACTTATAGGACTTAACACCACCACAGCCTCTTGTGGACACCTACCACATGCATGGCACTCTTCCACATGCTAGCACGTGTCATCCTAAACGACTCTATGTGTCATACCCATCTCACAGGTGAGGAGGAAAGTGAATTGCTAAAAAGTTAAGCAATTTACCGGAGTCACATGCCACACATCAGCCAGAATTTGGCCTTGGGCCAGCTGACTCCATGCTCCATGATCCACTATTATCAACCACTGACCCCTTGTCTTTCATTACACATAAAAATTTAACGGCTGTGAGTTGCTGGGAAGGACCAACTATTCTTTATTCCTCTTTTAAGCCTCTTTCCTAAATGTCTTTCTAAAGCTGAGCCTGTCCTGCACTGATTACAACTTTATGAACAAAACGAGCATCTGGCCCCAAACAAAGATGAGCTAATGTGGTGGTGAGAATGTCAGATATGTGGGAAAGCCTTTCAAAAAGGGATTGATGTGGGAAAGTGAATGGGAGCAAGGGAGTATTTACAGAACAGCGAGAAGATACCACAGGGACCCCAAAGGAACACTTGGGAGCCTTTGGTGATGAGTTAACTCAAGGAAGTCACTAGGCCTAATGACACCTGGGTGTGCACACTCCAGCCCTGTGTAGACAGTGTTCGTGCAGGTGGCATTTCCCAAACCGGCAAATAAAGAGGCACTGACCTCCTCCATGTACTCGGGCTCCGAGGCAGACGCGTCCCAACGGTTGTTGAGGATGAAGATGTTTGGGCGGGAGAGGCGCTCGCTCACCTTGTGGAAGAACTGCTTCTCCTAGACAAGGGGTAAGGCCTTGGTGGAAGAGGAGCTATGCCTGCCAAAGGCTCACAGCCCACCTGCCCAGATGGGACCCAGGAGTGGATAGTGAGGCCAAGGAGGGCTTACGGTCTGCATGAGGGTGGACTCCGAGTTGGCCACCAGCACAAACACATCAGCATCCAGGCAAAACTTGTCAATCCAGCTGTCCAGCTCTGTGGTAACATCAATACCAGGGCTAAAGGTGACAGGGTAAACCAACATCGTCAGGCACACAGAGGCACAAGGCCCTATTCTTCCTGCTCTGAAAGGCCTGGGATGTGCAAGGCAGTCTGACAAAGGAGGCTGGTCCTTTCTAGGGGGAGTTTTTTTTTTTTTTTAATCTTCGGAAAATTTCTTTAAATCTTTTTTATTTTTTTTTTTTTTAATTGTGATTTGGGTGAAAATTTACAGAGCAAATTCACTTTCCATACAGCAGTTCACACACACTGTCTCGTGACATTGACTACAATTTACCACAATGCAACATTTCCCCTCATACTTCCTCCCAATAGTTACCTCTTCCCTGTGTCCATCCCTCCATGCCCTCCCGCCCCGAGCTGTCTCCCTGTGCATAAGCAGCCCTTCTTTCTCCCATGATTGTTCTCTCCAAGGAGTGTATCTACCTCAGGTAAATGTTCAATTCATATGCCTGTCTTTTATTTGGCTGGAATCCACAGGTGTGGGTTCAATTCCAGACCTGAAGGGCAGCTAGGGACCATAGTCTAGTGGTTCCATCAGGCTCTATCAGACCAGCAAACCTGGTCCCCTCTTTTTTTTTTTCTCCAAATGATTTTGAGTTTTGTTCTACATTGTTCTCCCTCTCTATCCAAGATCTCCTACACAGATCCCCTTCCAAGTGGTTGACAGTAGTAGCCGGGCACCATCTAGTTCTTCTGGTCTCATAGTCGTATAAGCTGCAGATCGGATAGTGTACGAGTCGCTAGAACTAATAGTTTCCATGAATTTTTGGTTTTTCTAAGGGGAGTTTTACTTTCCATTTGACATCCTTCCTGAATGTCTGAAATTTGTTTTTTACCATGTGCATCTATCATTTTTATAAAAATATAATGATACACATGAAACCTATGAGAGCCAAATCTTGGTGGGACTGTGTTGTTTTTTCAGAAGTCCCAAGTTTTCTGCCTTTGACAGGGTACAGTCTTACCACTTTTTTACTGCTTTCTACTAATGGAAAATATTTGCATTTTCCTCCTCTGACAGGTTTCTACCTTACACAGGTTCTGACTTTCACAAGTGTTACTGTATAATTTTACTTTGGGGACCAACATTTAAGGTGGAGTTCTGTTTATACAAATCTAGGTAACTCCCATAGGACTACATTTCTTGGTAAAATTACAACCTCCACAGAGCAGGGGCAAAGTATCCCTACAAGAGAAATAGAACACCCCAGTGACTCAAACAGAACACAACCTCCCAGCCCCCAAAACAAATACTCCCACTGGCTCGAGGTTAACAATCTTCTTGTATTTTGGGCATTCCTCCTGTCCCTTTTTATAGACTGCCACTGGGATGTCCTCAAGGCACTGATACTGATGGGTACAGTAACTAGAGGTTGGGGAAAATAAAAGAGGCAGGAGGTTTTGGTTGAGACAGCATGAAAGCAGCAGTTTAAGCAGAGCAAAGGTAGAGGCCAGGGGACTCTGGATGATGCAGAAGTGACAATCTGCTCTTCCTGGGAAGGTATGAGCCCTCTTACCTGTCCATCAGCACAAGGTCATCCTTCAGAAGGGGGCACTTAGAGTTGGGCCACATCACGCTCACCAGGCTGCCGGCATGTAGCTGCTCGTCCTGGTGAAGGGCATGGGCCAGCTGGTTCACAGTCTGATGGGGGAGGGGGAAAAAAACATCAGGCAGAGGAAGGGCCACTCAGCCAGACTTCCCACACTGCCTAGCCACAGTGCAGTGGCCCAAGACTGCTGCCCCATCAACCACCACTTTTCTTTCACTGTTAGAAAGTGTTAGGAGCTGTGAGTTGTCAGTAAGAACCAACTAGTCTCCACTCCTTTTTATTAAAATTAATTTTATTTGTTGCTGTTGCTGCTGAGACCATATACAACAGAACATACACCAGTTCAACAGTTTCTACATGTATAATTCAGTGACAATGATCATAGTCTGTAAATTCTGCAAGCATTCTCACCTTCCTTTTCTGAAATGTTGCTCCCCCATTAACATGACCTCACTGCCCCCTAAGGTTTCTATCTAATCCTTTGAGTCATCACTTTGATTCCATATAGATAGATCTTAAAAGCACAATGCTCAAGACAGACATTCTTCCCTAGTTAAAAAACATTGTTTGGGTTGAAGAAGACTTCAGGGGATATTTTTGGTTTAAGGAGAGATTATCTCAGGGGAATAATTTCAGGGGTTCATCCAGCTTCCATGATTACAGAAATTCTGGATTCTGTGAGAATTTTAAATTCTGTTCTGCATTTCCCCCTTTTAGATCAGGATTCTTCTATAGACTTTTTGATCAAAATATTTAGTAAAGGTAGCCAGGCACCATTCAGTTCTTCCAGTCTCATGGCAAAAGAGGCAATTGTTCACGGAGGCAATCAACTAGGAAGTAGAATAGAAGCACTAAACATATAATTAGGCCAATTAACTGGGATGTCCCAGGAAACCATGATCCTAAACCTCCAAACCAACAAACCAAATCCCTTGAGGTGTCTGGTTGTACAAAAGTAGCCTCAGCAGTTACTCTTCTTTTGTTATTGTAAACATATCACACAACTTTTGCCAATTCAACTTTTTACATGTGTACAACTTACTGACAGCAACTACATTAATCATCCATACAACCCTATTCTTAATGTGGTTTTCCATCTCTGTTCCTCTTTTAAGCTTCTTTCCTGGTTGTGTTCCTAAAGGTAAGTCTGGTCTACGTTAATTCTTTATGAAGCAAAATGAGCATCTTGGCCCAAACAAGGACTCAGCTGCCTCTTGGAAAAATAAAAACCTCCAAGGCCCTAGCTGATATATCAGAACTACAGAGTAAAATGTAGAAATCACCCAAGCAACATTCCAAGGAAGAACAAGGCTCATTCTCTTCTTTAAATTAACAACGGGAGAAGTCAAAAGGCCTGCTTAATGATACACAGGAACTGAAGGGTCCTGGTGCTTGGCTCTCCACATTTCTGACCCTCCCCAAAGCTCTTCCATCCTCTAAAGAGGGATTTCTGCAACAGTTTCCTTATCACATGCAAGGAGGCATTACATTCTCCTTAGTCAGCGTCGGTCCTGTCACCATGGACATGGTGATGGGTCTAAGCTCAGAGCTGACCTGCCAGGGTGGAAAGCAAGGCCTGGTACTCTCCACCCCCTACAGTCCCCCCACAGCACCCTCACCTTAACATTCCTCTTCTCCTCCGAGCCCTCGGTGAGGAGGAAGGCCTCATGGCCATCTGTGCCCTCCACCCGTAGGAAGCAATTGGTAGTGTGGCCGATCCCAGAGGGCAGAACTTTGTCCCAAAGCATGGCATTGATCACAGTGCTTTTTCCATTACTTGTCCTGCAGGAGATACTGGCTGTCAGTGACACTGTGAAGGAGCCACTTTTGACTTTCATAAGGAATTTCTTAGCTGGGAGGTCCAAAGTCGTGTGCTCTGCAGTGTCACCAGTGTCCAAAAGAGTGCCCAGCACATACCAGGAATTTGGTGTTTATTAAAATTGAGGAACAAAGAGTCTTTGGGTGATGCAATTGGTTAAGTGCTGGACTACTAACTGGTAGTTCAAACACAATCAGAGGCACCTTGGAAGAAAGGCCTGGCAATGTGCTTCTGAAAGATCACAGCCTTGAAAACCCTATGGAGCACTTCTACTATGTGCACGTGGGGTCACCAGAAGTCAGAATCAACTTGACAGCAACTAACAACAACAATAGTCTGACTTAAGAGTCACGTGCTTAACCAATGTTCTATATACAGGCTTAAGAAAGCTGTGTGTAAAAGGCCAGACAAAATTGAGGAACAAACATCTCTGGCTTCATGCCTGTGATGGCTCCTGGGACATCACTTCAAACCAACACTGCAAAGAGCTCAAGGAGCCCAGTGCAGCCATCGTGACTCTCTGAACATCAGTTTTGGAGAGACTGTCTGTCTGTCTCCAAAGGCTAACCCACTCCTCCTCTATCTGAAATTGATGAATTACACCTATAGGAGAGTCTTCCTCAGACTAGCAGAGCTAAATGACCCAACGTCCTTGTTTTCCACATGGACCTGCTTCCCTGCTCTTCTCCCCTCACCCTCCTCATCCATTAAGTCCAACCCAGCTTGTAACTTCCTGCCAAGAAGGAAGGCTACTTTAGCATCCTTGCCTCTCAAATCCCTTTCCTATATTCTGGTTCTTGAAAGCAGGGTCATCTGCTCTGGACCTCAGAGCTTTCAATCTGGGTCAAGCACAGTCTTCCTCATTCTGAGCTTGCAGCATCCCAGCTGCCTTACTTGCTTCATAGGTAGATGGGCCTCACCTGCAGTCAGGGAACCATGAGGTCACCCAGCTCACTTCAATGTGAGGGCCACATTTCCAAGGTAAGGATGAAGAAATGACAGCCCAGAGGGGCCAAAAGCCACATCATCAGGGGCAGGACTCTAAGCACCTCGACTATTCCTCAGTTCCCACTGTGTGCTGAGCACCCAAACTGCCTGGGGGTCTGCTGTTTCCTGTATCAGATTTTGTTTTTTTCTAAAGATGTCTGCTACACCTGCAAATGGTTAACGTGTTTGGCTACTAACTGAGAGATTGGCAGTTCAAGTCAGCCAGGTGCTTTGGAAGAAGGCCTGGCAATCTACCTCTGAAAAGGCAGCTACTGAAAACCCTGTGGAGCACAGTTCTACTCTGACACACATGGGTTAGCTACGCATCAACGTCAACTTGATGGCAACTGATAAGCTGGTTATTAGACCTCAAAATGTAACACATAGGAGAGTGGATGAACTCCTTGGGTATGTCAGCTACTCCCTGCTTTGGGGTGGTCAACTGTGCAGTTGTACAAAGTGTCTCCCTCCCTCCCGGACAGGAAGAAAGAAGTAATGTGAAGGCTTCAAGGACTCACCGGCCAAAAAAAGCCACTTTCATGTGCCGCCGGGCCAGCACCTCACTGATGCCCCTCACTTTGGACAGGTAACCTTTGACGTCCAGAACCTGTTCCTCCGTCGTAACAGGGTCCAACTCTGCATTCCTGTAGGTGTCTGGAGGTGGGGACAAGTGGCATTTCAGAGACAGCTCAGCGAGTTTCCCCTGCAGCTGGTGCCATGAAAGGAAGTGGCCAAGCCAACAAGGCTCCCCTGTATCCTCTAGTCACCCCCACCTCAGACCCATCAACATCTTCCCTTATATGGGAGCAACGGCCACAGCACAGCCTCCAAAATGGCCCTCAGAGTAGCTGGCTCTCAAGTGCATGGCTACATTTACAAGCAGTAGCCACAGGCCGACAATCTCTTATCACCTGCCCTTTGGGACGGTTCTGAGACAGCAATTATCCCCCACTTGGGGCAACCCACACATATCTCAGGATCACCCTAGCTCTCTCCTTCCACTTCACTGAGAGAGCTCTCTTATTGTCACAAGAAATCAAAGTGCCCATTTCTGAAGCCATCTCATAAACACCACCATAAAACACATGCCCATCACAATATCATCTGTGCCAATGACTCAGGCATCACAGAAAGCCAGTTTCGGGCTCTGAGAGGGCAGTGACCTGGTCTGCCCATCTCTGCACACTCAGGGCTTGGCATAGTGCTATACACACCAGTTATTGCTAAATAAATGGGCAATGGGAAAAATGTCAACCATCAGTCTTATGACTAAATTTAACAAATACTTAGGAAGCATCTTCTCCTGCACCAAACATTATGGTAAGAGCACAGTGAGGGGAATGAAACTGGTCATGGGTTGGTTCTATCTTTTAACAGAAGACCCATGTAGAAACCTGAACCATAAAACAATCAGAAGCCAGGCTGTACTGGTTGAAAGCTAAGAGTAGAGAAAAGTGTATCCCCTTCAAGACATTAACCTTGGAGGCACTGCCACTAGGCTTCTAGGGTTCTGCCAGACGAGAATTTAAAAATCCTGGTCTCATCTAAGCCTTTTTTTCTTAAGTAAGGAAAACAAGGGCAGATAGGACTCAGCCACTGGATCTTCAGAGACAACCTCAGGACTCAGAGCCTTCTTGAAAGGGAACCTGAGAAAGCCAGAGGCTCAGACAATCTGGAAGTGGTACTCAGATAGACGGGGTCCTGGAAACCTGTCCCCTTGCTGACAGAGCAGGGACTAGAGGTTGAGCTCAAATTAGAAAGTAATGAGAAAGGTGCAGGGGATATAAGTTTCCTATTCATAGCCCTGTCACCAATCTAAAAATATCAAGGAGAGAACATTCTGGTCAGGGACAGCCCACAGCCAGACAATGTCCAGTATTAATGGTGGCCAGAAACAGGCCAAGGAAAACACATAAGCTTTGGGGTCAGAGACACCTGGTTAAAGCCTAGCCCTGTCCCTTATAAGCTAATGGACAACTCTTAAAACCTCAATCTTCTGGCTTTTAAAATGAGGATAAGATTCATCTATCCCTTGTGATTAAATAAAACAGAGTACATACAATTCTTAAATATATTCTTTACTGGTAGTTCCCTGACTTTCCTTGTCTAATCTCCCTGTGAGCTCAATTTCACATGATTCCAAGAGTACAGCACCACTGATGGCCCCAAGCCATCTAGCCATGAGCTCCCCAAGAACAGGGCTGTGCCTCCCCATACCCAGATCCTGCTCAATCAATGTGCAAAAGGATTACAGTGGGCCTGGTGGAAGAGACACCCGTCTCACCTTCCAGGAATATAGTGCTCTCCTGGATGTAGGCCCCCAGCTGCTCAAAGATGCCATTGATCTTCTTCTTGGCAGTGACAAAGTGCTTGAGTGGGGAAGCATTCACCTCAGCCATGTGTCTCTTGTCCTTCTTGACTGTGACGATAGAGTTGCATCGAGAGAAGAGCAGGGACATTTCGCTGCAAGAGAAGACAATGTGAGGAAACCAGGAACACCCACCTTAGCACATTCTGCTAGTTAGTATGGAGGGGTGCAGTGAGGAGAAATGGGACCAGCTCCAGGTTTCATCAAGAATATGGGGCCCCCTGGGTCTAGATCAAGGGATGGTGAGGTAAAACCAGCATCTCAAGAATACGAAGGGCATTATGGATTGAATTATGTCCCCAAAAAATAAGTGTTATAAATCCTAAACTCTTGCCAGTGGCTATAATCCCATTTGGTAATGAGTTATCTTTGTCATAGTAATGAGACAGGATTAGTTTAGACTGTATCTTGAGTCAATCCCTTCTGAGATACAAAAGAGACTAAACAAGCAAGCAGAAGCAGAAGGGGTGGGGATACCAAGCCACGTGAAAATGGCTCAGGAACAGAAGCTCAATGAGACAAGGACCTTCCTCCAGAGCTGACACAGAGAGAGCCTTTCCCTAGAGCTGGCACTCTGAATTCAGACTTCTAGATTGTGAGAAAATAAATGTTTGTGAAAGCCACCTACTGGTGGTATTTCTATCATAGCAGCAATAGATAACAAAGATAAAGGGCAACATGATGAACATAATTAATGTCACTGAAACATATACAATAATAAACGCTGAAATAGCCAACTGTTTTGTTATGCATATCTACCACGATTTAAAAATAAAAAGAGAGCGCATAAGAAGGGATCTCGAAGGACACTCAGTTCAGGCTCCACCTCACACAGCACCAGCACTCAAGAGGACTGGAGCCTGAACCCTGGGCTCAGGCTAGTGCTGGCATTCCTTGACTACTGAACAATGACAGGCCTGCCTTTACCATCTCAGAGAGAGACAGAAGGAATGGAGAGGGAACACAGAGAAGGCTTCTTCTGGCTTCTTCTCAGTCTCAGGCAGAAAAGTGTGACAGAAATATGACTTACCTCCTATATCACCCACCTAAAAAGGATGGAATACTGAAACCAGTGAGAGCAATGTGATGCTCAGTGTCACCCTTTCTCAGTCACTCTGCTGTCCAGGAACCCAAAGGCCCCAATTCCTAACAGGATGTATGTGTGTGTGTGCGTGCGTGCGTGTGTGTGTAGGAATCAGGTAAGGGTAATCTTTCCTCCAATTTACTTAAAAATATTTATTGGTCGCTTTTATTACAAAATATGTACACTGCAGAAAATGCGGAAGCTAAGGAGAAAAGCTAGTAACCCCACCCCTTAGATAAGCACTGTTAACATTTTGTTCATCAGCAGCAGTCTATTTCTGCATAGGTATCTCCAGTGCCCTCACTCAGTCACATGTACCTTTGTAACCTATTTTTCTTCATAACACTGTCATATCAGGGGCCATGAAACTTGACTTTGATGTCCTAGAGGTTTTTGGTCAAAGGTCAAAAAAGGCAGATATACCAGAAAGTGGTGGCTAGAAATTCCTGGCCCCAAAAGCAGACTCCTGCCAGGTCTCTCCTCACCTAACCAGCCACCTAATCAGCGCCATCTGTCCTCCACCCAGTGCTCAACTCTCCCTAGCTGGGAAACGAGAAGGCTCATGAGCACACATAAGAAGCTTCTAAACGGTGCCAAAGGAGCTCTGGTAGCATAGTGCCTAAGGCACTTGACTGCTAACCAGAAGGCTGGTGGTTCAAACCCACCAGCCACTCCTTGGAAGGAGGATGGGGCAATCTACTTCCGCAGTGATACTGCCTCGGAAACCCAAGGTGGGGTCGCTATGAGTCAGGTCCAACTCGACAGCACATAATAACAACAACAACAAACGGTGCCAAAGGCTGCTGAACAAGTTCCTGAGAAAGAGAAAGAACATCTGGAAGAAGTGTGTGATGAGTGAATGCCAAAACTTGCTCTTGGGAACCAACCATCCCAAAGAGTACGCAGAAAAGACAAACACACAGGGAGATGGGAGCCCACATGTTTTGCCAAAACCAATAAATTATTTTGCAATGTTAATGATTTCTGGAGAAATGTAGGAGGAAAATGATCCTATTTCCATTTCTACCTTCCTCCTCAATGTAACACACAGCTGCAGATGTTTTCTTAGCCTAGAGGCCAAGTGTTAAGAGATTAAAAAAAAAAAAAGCAGTGCCCTGAGAAGGGGAATTGAGAATGAGATGGACACTCTGGCTCCTCCACAACGAAGACTGCACGGAAATTGGGCTCACCATGGCCAGCAGGCTATACTCAAGCTCTCAGAGAAATAGAGCAGGCAGGCAGACCACACAAAGGAGAAGAAAAGGAGCCTGAGTGGGGCATGATGTACTGTTGTAGATGAGAGGTTTTCAGAATCAGACAGAGCTGGGTTCAAATCATGACCACACTATCCACAGGCTATAAAACTTAACCATGGTATTTCACCTCAGGGACTTGTTATTTCCATCTGGACAAATAGGATACCCTATACACTGGAAAAAATGAAAGATAATGCAAGCAATATGCTAAGCATATTAACAAAAGTTCAAAGGTAGCTTTACATGTTAAGAAGCAATAATAATAATAATAAATTCTACCAGTAAGTTCACAAGACTTCCCTAGAAAACTCAGCCTTCAGGGCAGGGCAGAGGCAATTCCACCAACACACCCACAGCTCCCAACCTCTGCTGCAGTGGAGTAAACAAGTCTGCTCAGTGGTAAGCAGCAGGAGTGTCCAGCCCCTGAAGTTATCTGCTTGCAGGCAGCAAGTTCCCTGAGATCAGCTGGGCATTTAGAAGCAGGTGTTTTTAAGTTCTGGTCATTGGTGGCAAGTGAAAATGAAACCAAAAATGTTAGCGTTCAGTAAGTGCAAGATTTAAAGACATGCACAATAGTAAAAGCTTAGTGGGTCAAGGTTACAAGGCCTGCTGGGAGTTCAGCTTGTCCAGGAGCTGGCCTTTGCTCTCGCCATTACCCAGCCTATAGCTACTCATGCACAACCCCACATGGAATTCACCAAACTCTGTCTGTCTGATTTCTCTAGTTCTGCTAATTCCCAAGCTAAGATTCCATGTTTGTACTGCACATGCTGCTTTTAGCCTAGAATCCTCTCCTTTATCACCCATTTGGCATATTCCTATTTATCCTTTTACCCCCAACTCAAGTATCACCTCCTCCATGAAGCCTTCCTTGACATCTCCATGGAGGACATGCAACCTTATCAGACCATACCCTGTCTTTCCTGCTAGTCTATGAAATCCATGAGAGCCAGTATTTGACAAAGAGTATGTGTCCACCTAAGGGAGTGGGGGCGGGGGGGGGGACCATCTTACCCTTATATCCCTAGAATACACAAATTTACTTTTTTCTTAAAAGGTAGCTTTTGGTAAACATCAATTTCTTACTACTTGGAGCATGGTGAGTTAAGAGGGTTGAACAAACCTTTCAGGTTCCAGGACTTAATGCTTTAAAGAAGCAAACTAAACATATACATAGGCACAAAAAGACTCAAGTTGCAAAACACACACACAGACATTAAGGCAGGGTGCCCTATCTCAGAAGCCTGTGGCTTCCTACACTTCCAGTGTGGTAGGAAGCAGCTGGATTCCTGTACCACTTCTGGAACGCCTTGATAGTCCCTACTTCACCACAGGGCTAGTCACAGGCCTGTGGGGACCACCCGCCAAGCACAGCTGGGCCAGAAAGACCAGCTCTAATATCAGCTACACCTTAAGTGGCACAGTTAGAGCTCTTATGATACCTCAAAGTGCTCTTGAGATCATGATCTCTCAACATTTTAAGACAGCATTTCTCAGTGTGGTCCACAGAACTCTAGTTGTACCCAATGCTCCACGTAAAAAGGAGTCCCCAACAAATCAATTTGTAAAACACCATACGCTACTGCCCCTTCTGTCAGAGCCCATGAGCACAACAAAGGCTTTGGGAAGGCCTGTTGTAAAGATACCATTTAACTGTATTTAATGTAGCATTTCACAAATTAACTGACAAAGAAACCCTTCTGCACAACAGCCTTTAAAGTCCCTAGGAACAGTCTGGGAGAAGGCTCATCTATCCTGACAGTTTCCTACCACCACCCTAAAAAAGTGCAGACGGCACAGTATTAAGAGGTATTAACCTAAGACCAGCACCAAATCGAATTCTAACCTGAAACTGCTATTAACACTCCAAAGTCATCAAAAGCCTTGCCTTGACCTAGGCTATTAGGGGAAAGTATTAGGTATCTTGGGTGTAGGTGAGCAGTAGCAGAAACCAGTTCAAGGTGTATTTGGATCCCAAGCAGAATCCCTCAATCCACACCACCTCCTTACCCAGTTTTATGCACAGCAACTCTTAGCAGGGAAAATAAAATGGATCCACGATCGTCTGCTGGCACAACTGGAACAGAGGAGAAGCTGAGAAATTAAAACAAAAGACTGTCCAGGGTAAAGGGGGCAGTGCAGACTCTCAGAAAAGCTGTAACAAGGCACCAGCCTCTGTTGGACAGAGGAGGGGAGGAGAAGAGCCAGCACAGCAGAGAACAAACAAAGGAGATAGAGATTAATACTTCAGGAGCCCTGGAGATACCAGCCACTTTCTGAACTGTCAACCTCTTTTTTCCCAGTAAAATCCTCCATGGAAGTAAAAATTGTTGCTGTGTGTTGTCAAGTCGATTCCAACTCATAGCGACCTTATAGGACAGAGTAGAACTCCCCATTGGGTTGCTAAGGCAGACTTACACATCTTTCTCACACAGAGTGGCTGACTTTTTGGTTAGCAGCCAAGCAATTAACCATTAGCCACCAGGGTGCCTTAGAAAGAAACTACAGTAGTTTTTCGTTTTTGTTTTTCCAACATAGGCTGGAAAACTCCAGCTCTACATAAAGATGACCGCATCTAAGAAACTTGCAACTGGATGGACAGCAAAGCACACCTCTTTCCACCTGACCCACACCCACCATGCCAGAAGTCACAGCTATCACTTACTTTTCGGATGGTAGGGGAGATCTTCACAGGGTGGGCATCATGGGCGTGGCTGGAGTCAAAATGGTGAAAAGAATTTGAGTTCTCCTCTGTCCATCAACTTCTCAGGTTGAAGGTGGTTACTGATTTTGTTCACTCCACCAATTCGGACTTTTTTGGAAAGAAAAGGGAAATGTCAATAGGCAGGAAAAAAAAAAAACTGGTATATAAAACACATCTAGTCAGCTTTTGAAGCCAAACAAACTAGTCCCTGAGGGAAGCTTACTCATTGAGGTACTAAGGAGCTGGACTGGCATGTGAGGAAGTGCCCTGGAGAAAAACACATCAGAGATGTGGGGCCAATCCTATGTGTGCACAAACACATGTTCGGCCATGTGTTTACATAGCATGAGGGAGGTCCTTGCAGTGACCCTGGTAAAGGCACATCCAAAGGGGTGAGGGGAGAGGAAGGAACAAAGCCAGGACAAGGACTGGGCTTGAGGAACTTTCAGGACTAGATATGGGAGGTAGGGGTGAAGAAGGGAAGTACAACTTATTAAAGATCTGTGTGTGGCAGATGCTTTACCACAGTTATCTTCCTTAATTCTCAAGTCAATGGGGAAAGTAAAGGTTTGGAATACTTGTAACATTTATAGACTGCTAGTTAAGCCAAGAAAGTTCTGGATGCACAGTGGTTAAGCACTTGGCTGCTAACCAAAAAGTTGGTGGTTCAAATCCAGCAGTTGCAGAAGGACATGGCAGTCTGCTTCCTTAAAGATTACAGCCTTGGAAACCCTATGGGGCAGTTCTATTCTGTCCTATAGGGTCACTTTGAGTTGCAATCGACAGCAATGAGTTCATCTTCTTGCTAGTTAAGCCAAACTGGGACTTGAGATACCATCTTCCATTGACTCCAAAGCTCACTTGTTTTCAATGACATGTAGCTGCTTTTCACCCTCTGGTGGTGTTAAGGACGATATCAGAGTCCTTTTCTGAGAGGTGGGAAAGAGAGAAGATAGAGAATTTAAAGAAATAAGGCAAAGAGGGAATCTAAGAAGAGATGCGGATGGGCAGTTTGAGCTTCAGGCATCCAAACATCTATGGACTCACCATCTTCTGTGTGCCTGGTCCAGAGCAAGGCGTTAGGAATGTTGTGTGCCTGCTGGGTCAATACCGACTCATAGTGATCCTACAGGACAGAGCAGAACTGCCCAATAGGGTTTCCTTGGCTGTAATCTTTAGAGAGCAGATCGCCAAGTCTTTACTCCATCAGAAGGGCTGGGTGGGTTCAAGTGCATAACCACTGTGTCATCAGGGTTCCATGGCGCTAAAGATAGGGATGGACAGAAAACGGTGCCTGCCTCCGAAGGGCGTGCAGTCCAGTGAGAAGTCATACGATAAACGACCGTAACACAGTGCCCATAAGCGCTCAAAGTGAGGAAGCCCAGAGCAGGGAGCTTCGGTGGTGAACGTGGGCACTGTCACCTGCTGAATAAATTTTGGGAGAATGAAGAAAGCTGGATGAAAAGTGTGAGGAAGGGTAGAGGTGGAACGTGCCTGTGAAGGCGGGAACAATGAGGACCCTCAAGTGACCCCATGCTTCAGTCTCAATTCCCGCGTCCCGCCCCTCCTCTCAGGGCCGCAGAGGCCCGGGCGCCAAGGCCAAAGCGTGGAAACGCCTGCCTGCTGGGATGCCGATTCCTCGGTGCCCCGGCGTCCCACAGATCCACGTCAGTCTGTTTCTGACTCCCCAGGTCAGGCCAAACTAGTCCCCGCCACCCCGGCGCGCTCACCCTCTCACCTTCACCTTCCCGGCCTCGCGGCAGCCATCATCCCGCAACGTCACCATCGCGCGCCACCCGGAGACGCGGAAGGAGAGAGGGAGGGAGGGAGGGAAGGATGCGTGCGTCAGCAGCAGCCGCAGGTTTGCAGCTCTGGCTCCGGTGAGTCAGTGGGCTCTGAACTCAACCGAACCACCCAACAGCTCCTTATGGAGCAGGGTTCCGTTGACCCGGCGGTTTATCCGGACGAGTCTCAGCGTGCTAATTCACCTCCAGAGCGTCCCAAGCCGATGACGTAGGCCCTAGGGACTCGCTCTGTATCACGGGTGCTGTAGTTCCGGCAAGTTCCTGTCAGGGCTGGGACAGGCGGAGTGAGGCAGAGCCTCAGGCTGTCAAGGGACAAAACAAGGGCGTGGATGAGAGGCTCCCGCTGTTACGTTTGCTGCCCCAGAGTCTGACCCTAAGGCCTCTGCCAGCTCTGGAATCCACACTCACATTGTGTAATTTTAGAGCAGAGCTCTCAAGAGTTTAACGCCGTTAGAGTGAGGTGACTCACCTGGGAAGACAGCAACAAGCTTGAGTCTGGTGCCCTTCAATTGCCTTTGAGGAAGTTAAGAAACAAACAAAAAGCAATTGCCTTAGGATGGATTCAGACTCATAGCGACCCCATGTGTATGAGAGTAGAACTATGCTCTAAAGGGTTTTCATTGGCTGATTTTTTAGAAGTAAATTACCAGACTTTTCTTCCCAGACCTCTCTGGGTGGACTGCAACCTCCCACCTTCAGGTTAGCAGCCAAGCAAGCACATTAACTCCTTTAAGTAAGAACAACAATAACAATATCAATGACAATGTATCAGCACCTATTAAATGCTTATCACTAGCACCTAACATAAGAGCTCTGGTAGCGT